GAGGGGCGTGGGGAGCGCGGCAAGCAGAGGCTGGGGCGCGAGGACCCCGATTAGAGCCAGCCCTTGTTACATAGGCTTCTCCGTTTCAAGGTAAACACTCTCCCCTGAAGACCGTTTTAGGATGCACAGGGCTGCACACTTCATTCTTTTGGGGGAGGTGGGGTGAAGTGGGCAGTCGTCCTGGAATTTGAACCCAGGGACTCCTGTTTGTTAGGCAAGTATTCTTTTTTTTTTGGGGGGGGGGTCCGGTCATGGTGCCTTAACTCTGGGCCTGGGCGCCGTCCCTCAGCTCTTCAGCTCAAGGCTAGCACTCTACCACTGAGCCACCTTCCCAGCCCCTCTGTGAGACTCTTAACTCCAATAAACCACCTGAAAACTGGAAGTGGTGCTGTGGCTCAAGTGGTAGTGCTCACCTTGAGCTGAAGAGCTCAGAGACAGTGCCCAGGCCCAGAGTTCAAGCCCCACTACAAAAAAAAAAAAAAAATCTGGTAAGCTGAACTTGACAACGTAGAATTTGTCCTTGAAGTGTCCTGAGCTGAGATTTGGCTGCTCACACTGTTATATCCTAGCTACTCAGGAGGCTGAGTCTCCTGGGACCTCAATATCTCAGACTCTACTATATTAGCTTTGGAACCCCCTATGTCTGCCTCCTGGGTCCCCAGTATCTCAGATTCTATCTTAGTCTGTTCTTAAGGCCCCAGAAATCCCTACCTCTGTCTCCTGGACTCCCAGTATCTCAGACTATCTCAGCTTGAGGATCCTGTGGTTTGGAGCCAGCCTGGGCAGAAGCTTTGAGACTCTTAATTCCAATTAACCAGCAAAAGCTAGGATGTATAGGCTCAAATGGTAGAGTGCCAGCTTTAGTGGGGAAATCCAGGCAAGAACACAGGCTCTTGAGTTCAATCCCCAATACAAGCACAAAACAAAACAAGTCAACTTCTCAATCAGGCTGACCTAGATTATCTAATTGCCCTAATTACTTCCCATCCAAATTTTTCTATCATCCCTATACCCTAGCCCAGCAATTTTTCCCCTAAAGCATCAAACCTTCTAAAACATGGTTGCACAGCCTAGGCACACTATTGACATTTGTGGCCAGGTGAGTCCTTGTACATTGAAGGAGGACTAGTGGCTGCCTGGCTGGACAACCTATTGTGACAGCTGTCACCATCTCTAGACTGCCAGATGTCTACCCAAGGTCTCAATAGCCCCAGGTCGAGAACCACTGTTCCGACATATGATCTAATGTGTTTGTTATTTGTCTCTTACCACTGAAATACAAGCTCCATAGGACAGGTAATACGTGTGTTTTGTTTACTAATGTGTCCTGGTTGTTAAATACTGGGCGTAGAAGCTCACACACCTAGTCCCAGTTTACTCAGGGAGGCTGAGGCAGGAGAAACACTTGAGCATAAGCATTCAAAGTCAGTTTGTATAAAACAGTAAGACCCACTGGGCGACGGTGGCTCACGCCTATAATCCCAGCTACTCAGGAGGCTGAGATCTGAGGATCACTGTTCAAAGCCAGCTGGGGCAGAAAAGTCCCTGAGACTCTTATCTCCAATAAACCCCCAGAAAACTGGAAGTGGCACTGTGGCTCAAGTGGTAGAGCACTTGCCTGGAGCTCAAGAGCTCAGAGACAGAGCCCAGGCCCAGAGTTCAAGACCCAGGACCAACCCTCCAGCTACCCCGGGGCCCAGAAAAAAGGGCTGGGAATGTGACTTAATGGTAGAGTGCTTGCCTAGTATGCACAAAGCCCTGGGTTCAATTCCTCAGTACACACATAAACAGAAAAATGCAGAAGTGACCCTGTGGCTCAAGTGGTAAGAGTGCTAGCCTTGAGCACAGAGAGGCTCAGGGACAGCACCCAGGCCCTAAGTTCAAGCCCCAGGACTGGCCTCCTCCCCCCAAAAAATCAGATAGTAAGAAAACAAACAAAAACCCAATAAGATTCCCCAATCTTAAAAAAAAAAAGGCAGAGGGAATGGCTTATATGGTAGAGTGCTTGTCTAATAAGCTTGTAGCCTTGATTTCAATTCCCAGTACTGCTCAAAGAACATACCCTCCCCCCAAAAGTCTAGCTGTTGACCAGGCATGGTGGTATAAACACTCAGCACTCAGGAAGCTAAGGCAAGAGGATGACAGATTGTGTTGGGAGAGAGAGAGAAAAAGAGGGAGGGGGAAGGTAATAAATGAAGCCAGGAACCTATGATCCTAGCTATTCAGGAGGCTGAGACCTAGAAGATTATTATTTGAAGCCAGATAAAGCAGAAAAGTCCAAGAGTCAACACCTCCAATTAGCCAGCAAAAAGCTGGACTGCAGGTTTAGCTCAAGTTGTAGAGTACCACCCATGAGGAAGGAAGCCAAGTGTGCTGAGTTCAAACCCTGGTGCTGACAAAAAAAAAGAGAAAAAAGAAATCAGACATGAGCCACACATGTTGAGCTAAATGAAAAGAAAAAAGCCAAGTATTGGTGGCTCACGCCTGTAATCCTAGCTACTCAGGAAGGAGGCTGAGACTGACAATCAAGGTTCAGAGTCAGCCTGGGCAGGAAAATCCTGAGACTCTTACCTCCAGTTGGCCAGCAAAAAGCTGGAAGTGGAGCAATGGATTAAGTGGTAGGGTACCAGTTTGAGCGAAAAATCCAAGCAAGAGTGTAAGCCCCAGTACTGGCACAAAAAACAAAATTGGGGATTAAACTCAGTGTCTGAGCCATACCCACAGTCCCTGGATAGGGGATCTCAATGAAGAGGATATGGAACTCATATTCTCCATCTTCCTGGAGGTTTAGAATTTGCCAATATAAAGTGTTGGGCAAAATAATGTTTTTTTGGTCGGTCATGAGGCTTGAACTCTGGGCCGGGACACTGTCCACCACTTGAGCCACAGCGCCACTTCCAGCTTTTTCTATTTATGTGGTGCTGAGGAATCAAACCCAGGGCCTCATGCATGCAAGGCAAGCACTCTACCACTGAGCCACCTTCCCAGCCCCCAAATAATTTTTTTGTGTGTAAGACAGTCCTGGGACTCCTTGAATTTAGGACTAACGCTGAGCTTTTGTGCTCAAAGCTAGGGCTCTACCACTTGAGCTACAGTTTTGTTAGTTAATTGGAGATAAGAGTCTCATGGATTGCTACTCAGGAGGCTGAGATCTGAGGATTGTGGTTCAAAGCCAGGCCAGGCAGAAAAATCCCGAGAGTCTTAGCTCCAATTAACAACCAAAAAAAAAAAAAATCCCCAAAAACAAAAACCCGGAAGTGGTGCTGTGTTCAAGTGGTAGAGTACTAGCCTTGAGCTGAAGAATTCAGGGACAGCCCAGGCCCAGAGTTCAAGCCCCATGACCAACCAAAAAGAAAAGAAAAGAGAGTCTCATGGACTTTTTTGCCCAGGCTGACATCAAACCTCAACCCCATAGCTCAGCCTCCTGAGTAACAAGGATTACAGGTGTGAATCAGTGGTGCCTGGTTTGGGCAAAATAATTATTTTTTGATCAGTCCTGGGGCTTGAACTCAGGGCCTGGGTGCTGTCCCTCAGCTCTTCAGCTCAAGGCTAGCATTCTACCACTTGAGCCACAGTGCCACTTCCAGCTTTTTCTATTTATTTGGTGCTGAGGAATTGAACCCAGGGCCTCATACATGCAAGGCAAGCACTCTACCACTGAGCCACCTTCCCAGACTCTCTGAAAGTCTTTTGGCTGGTCTGTTTCTGGGTGTGGAGGAGGCAGCCACTTCTCCAATTTGATGGAACCTGGCCCCAGGGTTCCAGATTTTAGTTTTTCAGAGGCCTGGTTATCCCTTATCCCTAGACCCTGTCTATGGATCTGTATACCCCAAAAGGCAGAGGAAGCATTTTTTGACACCAAAGGCGTTGTATATCATTACTTACTGAAGTATCACCAGACTATCTCATAAGATAGGTTTTATGATTCCTACTTATAAATAGGGAAACTGAGGGCAGGTAACTTACTCATGACTGCATAGACTATAATCCGGGGTATCTAACTCTCCAGTCTGGGTTCCTAATCAGGCCCTCAAACTCAAACCTCCAACCTCCATTCCCAACCAGGCAGTGGCACTTCAGACTGGTCCTATACTTTCCTCCAGTTTTAGTATCTT